GCTGTGCAACCTGCATTCACCTTAATAGGGAAACAAACTTGGATAAATATAAAGTTTGAAAATCTGCCTGTTCAATTTGTAGCCACAGGTGTCAGATTTAGGGGGAGGTGACCGACCAGTCTATTTTTAACTGGTTTAATTCTTCTTGGATTATTGCCCATTCCAAGGAGTTTTAGGTTGATTGTGTGTGCGTGTGTGTGTAAAAATGTTGTTCAATATCGTGTTTGCATATTTGTTTATTGATTTTACTGGAATGTGCTCTGGTGTACAGTGCAATATAGATATGATGATGATGATGATGATGATGATGATGATGATGATGATGATGATGAAATCAATCTCATTGAACTGCGTGTGGTTTATATCTCAGTAAAGATACACAGGATTTCTGTACAGGTCCCATTACTGTCCAGTAGGATTTATTTCTGTAACTGAATAAATAAGTTCTGTACAACCTGCATTCAGGCTAGAAGTGGGAAATGTGAGGGAGTTTTGGACTACAGAAGCTGCTTGGTGAATTCTGGGGAGTTGTAGTTCAAAAACACAACTCTATGCACCTCTAACTCAGACAGTTTCAAGGATTATTTTCTCATATAAATCTGCTTGAGTTATCTTAGTCTCCACCCTCAGAAGCACATTTGGTGAGGATATAAGAATGACTTTCTAGGCCACCAAGAGATCCCAAATTCTGAAACTCCTTATCAAGGAGAATTAGACCGCTCCCCTTTCTGTTGTCATTCTCCTGACCAGGAGAAAAATACATTTTTTATTAAAAGAAAATTCAGTCAAACCTTTGGCAGCTGACTGGCTACTTGGATGTTAAAAGTCAAATGCTGTACTCTATTGATAATACTTCTCTATTGCTTTTCATTCAACTAGGTTTTTAACATTATGATTAGTTTCAATATTACAACTTCGTGCTTTTTTATCTGCATCTTTTCAAAAAGTCAGGTTTGTTGTGAACCTCCTTGAGACTGTTTTGAGAAGAAAATAGAATATAAATTGTAATGAGTCCAGAACACAGCAGCCAGACTAGTGGCTGACATGTGCAGGTTTGACCACATCTCCCCAATCTTGGCTCATCTGCACTGGTTACATGTTGCATTTCAGATCAGATTCAAGGTTTTGATGATCACTTATAAAGTCCTTCACCGCTTCAGACCGCATTACCTGTCAAGAGTGCCTCCTCCAACGGTCACCCACCTGACTCACTAGGTCCTCCCAGGTCATGATCCTCTGGGCTGCCACTCCAAAAGAGGCCAAGAAATCCTCTAACTAGAAGTAGGGTCTTCTTTGCGCAAGAGAGACCAAGAAATCCTCTACTAGAAGTAGGGTCGTCTCTGCAATAGCTCCAATGCTATGGAACCAACTGCTGGCAGAACTGTACCTAGCCCCCTCCTCCCATCCTTCAAAAGATATTTGACACATTGCTTTATGTACAGAGAGGCCTTTTCTGGCAACCCTGCATGATCTGTTCCTTGCTGTTCTATATGGTTATATCCCATGCAGTATTTAATTTTCTATTTCCACTACTTGATGTGTTGACTGTTATTTTGTTGTTGTTTTATTTATAGTTATTGTTTTAGTTGACTGCAAACCACCCAGAGTAGTGCACTTGAATTAATAGGGTATATTGATTGCTGCTTTCCAGTCCTTGCCTCCAGTCTAGGCTTCTGCTGTTGGGCAGATTCAAAACCCATAGGGCTAACATGATGGTTCCACAACACCCTTCCATTTTCCACCTTCCATATCTTTAGTTCCTGCCTGATTGTTTGCAGTCTTGTGCATATAACTGGAACTGCAGAGATAGGCAAATGGCTTTTGCTTTTACAAAGCACTTCCTCCTCTTGTGCAGATGCAGAGTCTAGCACACCCTTTTCCATATGGATGACAGCAGCACAGCAGGCAGGCATAGACAGCCAGCCCCCATTATGTCTTTACTTGTTTGCTATTGTTGTTGATGATACTGGTTCTCTGACAGGTACTAGTAGAGCACTGAAGCAGTGAAGTGGTTTAGTGCTAGACAGCTGGGATGGTGAATCTCGTCATCTCCTGTCACCAAGCAACAATAAACACTACCAACAACAAAGCGACATGGAACAAGATAGAGGAAATGCAGTTTCTAAAACACATGTAGGTCTTTGCATCTCTAAGCTGTATACTGACAGGATGAGTCAGTTTCTAAAGAGGAACAAGAAAGAGAGAGATGGGGGGGGCAGTGGGCAGCTGGAATTGAACAAAATTCCAAGAAGTAGTAAATGCATTACAAGTTTACAAAAAGAGAGTAGAAACCAAATCTTAAAGATAACACAACACCAAGAAATTTCATTTAATAATTAAAAAAAAAGACAATATGAAATGCAAACTTTTCTTTTTACAAGTTCAGATACAATTTCTTTTATCAAGTGCAAATAACGTTATGGACTATACCTTTTTGATCACTAAATCATTATTCTGCAGGAATGAACAGACTGTGGCATACTGCACAATGCAGTTATAAATATTTCAGCTCTGTTTAATTTTAGTATGTTTCCTATGCTGAGATTAATTTTTAAATTTCCAAATCTTTCGATTTTCTACATTTGAATTAGGAAAAAACAGAAATAAGATAGGAGATCTAAGCCAAATTCTACACACAAGTTTTGTCTTCAGAGCTTATTTTTTCTTTTGTTTTATGTTCCTCCACAGCATACACTATTTTGGCATCCCCCCACTTCACTGATAAACAAATGCTTTTAATGTGGTAGAAAATAGCTGCATCTGATAAGATTAGTGCTGAATACTAAGTCCTAACTACTAAATATTATGAGAATATCTGGCCAAAGTTGTGTCAACCTCAAGACAATTCCATGTTATTGCTGAAATAATCCCACTGAATTTGAGGAAACTAGTTTTTTTTAGAGATTAGGTTAAAAGGAAGAAATAGCAAACTATTAACACCCCATTAGAAAAGCATTAGTACCAGTACAGCAAATGGAGATGATCTTACCCATGCAAGAGTTGTTTAGATAACAATTCTGATTGTTAGTTTCACATCATGGCTCAGAAAAGGCAACAATTATACCACTATAAATTAGGGTCTGACCACTAGTATTTGCACTTGAATATGGATCAATAATAGATCACTTGTAGGGAAATTCTGAATTGACGCATATGACATACTGGTTAGGTTTAATATCAGCCACCACTCACCACAGCTAACCCCAAAACCTTTGTCCAGTGTTGGGTTCTACCATGGGATGTGAGAAAACACGAGAGCCTTTGAGCACATGGAATCTGCAGTTACTACAATTAGAAGAAAAGGCTTTCAGGTGGGCGAGGTGGCCTCTCAGGAGACCTGAGTCCCAGTGTCTCTTGTTTTAGAAATCAGAGCCTAGCGTAAAACATTCACAAAGGGAATTATTGCACTTCAGTACACAAATGGAGGGTCTCTGGACAGAATATATAAATATCTCCTTTTCTGGCAAAGCTAACTTCTCTGAAATGTTGAAGGTTAGGCATTGCACGTGTAGGAGAATTTAATATGGGGATGGACTCCAGTACGTGGTCCCTTGTGTAAATTCTGAAGTTGCCTTTGCCAATATTTGAATTGACGCGCCTCTGAAGAGTTGCTTGTGGCTAAAAAGTAATTTCCAGAAAGTTTATATCTTCATCAGTTACAGGGTAACCAAGCTCACTCTTCTGGATTTACTTTGGAATTTACTGTGGTGAGGAAAACAAAAGATTCCAAGAACTGAAAACTTAAGTCACATTTAGTCATAATTTTGCCAACTCCTTGTTTGTTTGTTTTTTCTGTTTCATTTTCTTAACACATGCACACACACACATACATTCTCTTTTCTCAGGCAGGTATAAATATTGTAGTTTCTAGTAGAAAAAATTTCCCTCTAAATAATATAAAGACAACTCAAAATGATTGCACTTAATAATATGAAAAAGGTAGAAAGGAGAACATCCTAGTGCACAAACATTCACTCCTGCCCTTCACACTGCTTGCTTTTTTTTGACATCGAGTTACTCTTTGGCAGAGCTTATAAGAAGTATGATCTCACAGCACAAATGTCCATGGGGGAGGAAACACATTGGAAAGTCACACTTTCCACCAGGTTTTCCCCCACCTTTTTCCACACATCATTCCACACCAGAACGTGGCTAGGCCATGCTTTCTTCAAATGCAAAAGTCAGACTCAGTCATGAAATAATGCTGTTCTAATCACCAAACTTGCCATCACATAAAACATGGGCCATTTTCTTTCACACTTCTGTGATACATCATAGTCTTTTATACGATCTTATTCCTGACCATTATTATTTTTTTGTCTGATGTTTTCTGCAAGACTGTGCTTTATTTATTTATTTTCTTTAAAAGCACAACAGTCTGATAAATAAGGCATAACCTTCTGCATTCCAGTTGTCCTCTCCCTCCCCCCCAGTTGTTCTTTACAAAAAAAGTTCACCTGGACCAATTCTGTTGCTTAGCAGCAGCTCAACATCTCCCATTTCACCTGTGTCCCAGAAGTAGAGGCATGATAGGTAGCCGGGATGTTACTTTCTAGAAGCTGACAGTCATGTGGAGAAATGTACCCAGTAATCTCTTTGGTAACTGACCTGCAGCACAAAGGACTGCACTTGACCTGCATATATGAGAGAAGGATGAAACTGCCCTGGAGAGACAAGTCCCAGTAGAGGCCACTTGCAAAGAGTGCGCCACTTACTGGAATATGTAATCTCCTTAGGCTAAGACTCCAGTACAGAAAGCACATAGGATGGGTTTTATGTTCCTCATGGCTGCCAGATTCCTTCCACAGATAAAGTCATAGGAGAATTTAGTCTGAAGAAAAGCCAAAGAAAGACCAATGGTTAGAGTCATCTGCATAACGAGTAGTGGGAGGGGGGGCTGTATTTGTAGAAAAAGTCATTGGGAAAAATAAGAATAAGTGTAGGAAAAAGTTTTCTTGGCTGTCCAGTAGCCCAAAAGGCTGGTGAGAGTGTCATGAGGCTATTTGTAAGGTCTGAGAAAGCTGGAAACTTTGGAGCGGAGGAGTTTGATGAAGGAGCGTGGCAGCATCTCCTTATGCTTCTCTGTGTATTTGAAATAGTTCTGTGGGTGAGCCAGCACATCAAAGAATGCTTTGATCAGCTTCTTGTCCTGCACAGAAAGCAAACAGAATGGCTGCATTAGTTTTAGGATAAGACGGGGGAATATGTGGCTGTCCACATATTATTGACCTGCCTCTTCCATCAGCTCCAGATAACATAGCCCTCAGTGAGGGATAATAGGAGTTGTAGTCCCTTGACTTCTAGAAAGCCACACATTCTTCACTCTTGTAATATTCACTTCTACCTTCGTGTCAGTGTGCAGGGTCAAATGAAGAAGTCCAAAAGGTTTACCTTGACAGTCAGATGACCACCCTGGAAGTCAATGCCACCTTTGCTGTATAAGTGGCAAGGCTGAGAAGAGGATCAGCATATACTGATTCAATAACTTATCTTGTGCAGTTTAAGCCATTTTGAACACAGCAAGAAATTTTCCAGCGAAATACCAGAAAGAGGAGACAATACAGTCTGTCTAGACCCAGACTGCATGTTATGGAGAGATTTATCAGCACCAATAGTATTCCCCAGTCATTGATGGGGCATTGATATAACATTCTCATGTTATTGTTTCTTTGTTACATCCACCTTACCGCCCTCAAGTCCACATGGGTAGTTAGAGAAGAGGGCAGGAGAAACATTAAAGTGACGACATCATGTCATGTATTTTTTTTCAGGGACTCTTTAGTGGGAAGTCATGGAAGGAAAGATCTATAGCACACATATTTTCCTGTAATTCACAGATGTGGCTTAAGTGTACTAAGAGTAAGATTCCAATTGGAGTCATTCTCATTACCATGTTGATGTGGGAAGGCTACTACAAAAGGACCTGATTTGTCACAGCTTTTCTGATTATTCAACTTTGTTAAACCTGTTTGGAAAGTAAACCTATTGGAAGAGAGTTACAGAAAGATATAATGGCATGACAGCATCAATCCACATCCCTCTCTTATCCTCCTCCCT